TGAGAAAGAGTCACACTTTCTCTAGAAAGAAAGTGTTGCTTGGCAATATCAAATTCAGAGTTCAATCCATCCAATAACTCAAAGACCCTATTCTTCTCCAACAACTTCTAATAGGTTACTACATCCTTCGTACTCTCCCAAACCATAATATCTAAGTGATCTATCTCCTGCCAAAGTGTTTTTAATATGGACAAATACATAGCAATTGGTTTATCTCCCTATTTTGTATTAGTCACCTAATTCCTTAACTGATAGGCTCTAGCTACATTTTGTTTCTGAGAATAGGTTTCAGCTACTCCATCCCAAATATACTTTGTAGTATTAGCCCACAAAAAAAATTTACCAATGTGAGGTAACATAGAATTACACAGCTAGGACATCGCCATGTAATTCTTCTGTACCCACTAAGAGGAAACTATATCAAGTTTCTTCTCTTCCGTAGTGATGTACCCTAGCTTCCCATGAGCACCAATGGCCATCTTGTCTGATTGTGCCAATTCTAAATAATTTGTTCCATCCAATTTCATTGTGGTAATAATTCCATACCAAAAAATATCACTAGTACCTCCTATACCTAGACCCATGTTATCGGTGGACTTCTGTTCAGTACTCCAACTCTCCATTTCAACTTCAAACAATTGAAAAACAAGAAATAACTAGGTAGAAAGCCTCCAAGATCAAACCGATCTCACACACAAGGGTAACAAACCTTTCCGGAAGAAGAAAAATCTATTCAGAGAGAAATCCCTCTTCTCCCATTGTCTCCCACTAGAGAGAAAAGTGAATTGATCACTCTAGAAGGCTAAAAAACTCCTAGAAACCAAACCACCCTTATATAAAACCTAGAGAAGTCCAACAAGGTCCAAGTGCCCTATATCAAATAAAAAATGAAGAGTCCAACTTGACTACGACTCTTCCCCACACTCCAATTCTTCTTGACTTTGATGCCAAAACACAAATTACCCTCTTGATGACTGAAACCCACCAAAACATCTAAGAACTGGGTAGTTTGAAGTAGATCAATCAACCCTTTATCTCCTCATGTAATCAATTGATCTATGACTGCATGGAAGAACTCCAAGAAACCCTAGTCATGCTTTGATACCAAGTAGAAAACTGTTGAATCAAAGAATATGCAAAGAAAAGAGATATTTCTCGAAGAAGAAGAGAAAGAGAAGAGAAGAGATTGAGAAAGGAAAAGAGAGCAATCAGTTCTAGCTGCCCTCCTCACTAGTATTTATACTTTTAAATAAAAAAGGGTACAATGACTAATATGCCCTTATAGGGCTGCTAACACATAAAATTGCATAAATGACTTAGAAGAACCACTGGAAAGGGACCCAACAATAGTGTTGTGGTCCCCACTTCCTGTCTAAACAAATAATAAAGAAAAACAACTACTAAATCTGCCCAAAAACCTCAACAATAAGTATTTTGTACTATTAATGAAATTAATGATATATCAAATCCATTTACAAAAACAAAATTACTATAACTAGAATAATTGTTTTAATAATTAAAATTTATAAATTGCATGTGATGTGTATCTTAGAAACTGCATACATTTCTATAAATTATTGACTAATGTTTAATTTTTTGTAAATAACAACATATTTATTATTTAAAGAAATTAAAATTATATTAACAAAATTAAACTTACAGTTAAGTTGACTTACTGTTTTGGAAGGGTTAGAATATGATACTAGAAAAAGCTTGTAACCAATCAATTAGTATCAAGTAATAACCAATCAGGTGGTGTTTATCAAAGTTCACGGGAAGGGGGTTGACTGGTCAAACTTCTCCCATCATTGTCTTTTTGGCAATATAGATTTTCCCTTTTTGATAATATAAAAATATTAAAGTATAGAACAATTGATCCATTATTTAAAATATAGTAGTTGTGTTTTATTTGTGCCTTGGACTCTTTGATTTATTGGTCTTCTACATTCTCATGAATCTAATGTATACTTTAGATTAATTATATAACTTTTAAGGGGAAACCTTTGATGCTACAAAAGGTATGATACTAGATGAGCATTGATCAATCAAACCCACTTACACCTCCTCTCCCCTAAATTTTGACAAAACCACTTGATTAGTGATGAAAATCAAAAGTCGCTAATGGTCTCAGGATTAGCTCGGAGGTTGGGGGTTCCTACAAGAGAAGACGAGGTTAGGGGGCCTGGGGTGAAATCCTGAGCTTTAGACTTCGATAAGCAAGTCGGTAAGGACCGAGCTATTGAAGGTGGCAATGCTAGTAATTAACGAGGCCAAAAGTATACAATGAATGCAGAATTGTCCTTTAAATAGGCTCTTAGTGCTCATGCCAAAAGGGTACATGTGGGAGAGGTGTTGGACACTTGGAGGCTTGGGGAGACACCTGGAGCTCGGGCAGGACACTTGGAACTGAAGTGGAACACGTACAGGTGACTCATGCGCCACTGATTGATGAGACAACCATGCGTAATGATGATGTTGTCATGCAGGGCTGCCAGATGGCCTCTCCATATACACATGGTGGAGCTCGGGTGTGCTTCTTCTAGGACAACTCGCCTTGGTAAAATGTGCTTTATCATGGATTCAGTTTGGGTCATACACCGAGCTACCACTTGGCAGGTCAACGATTTGGTCAGAACAGTAATTAGGTCCCCTGTGATGAGCCCAACTCGCTATCGAAGAGCTATGTTAGAACGAGGTGGACAATGGGCGTTTGAGGTAAGTTCTGTGGGTCTGAGGTGGCATCAGTTGACTCACTTGACTGAGGTGGGAACTCATAGAAAGAGGCACAGAGGCTCTCAGAGTTGTCACGTGTCGAAATTCTATTGGAGGTCACTTCTACCCCCATCATTTAGAATTAATACTTTTATGAAACCAACTGGTTGGTTATAAATATTTTGGTGTCAATGTCCTTTTTTTTTTTGAAAAGCATCCAAAGAATAATCCATTCACCATAAAACCTCAGTTACATCAGCATCCAAGAATGGACCAAGAAAGTTAGGAACTGAGGACCTGGTCGAAACTGAACTACATGATAGAGAATATTTTTCTACTCAATGTGCAGCAATGATTCATTGATCTTGGAGAGAAAGTAAATGAGAAGGAAGGAAAGTGAGCTAATAAATTCTTGCAATCCATAAAGAGGGTATAAATGCTCCAAGGAGGGATAGGTTCAGCCTCAACAATAGATCAATGATTGATTTTGCAATGCCTAAGAATGAGGGAAAGTGGATAACCAAACATATTAATGACTTCATACATGTAATTTTTCAAAAAAACATTTAGTAGGTGTTTGGGGTCTTGGTTGATCTCTCTCTCTCTCTCTCTATATATATATATGAGGAGTCCTCTCACCATAGAGCTCACATGTGCCTCCTCATATTTTCCTTCCTCATATATGTGCATATTTATTTTTAAATGAAATCATTAAAAATATAACAAGGCAAAATTAAAACCCTAATGGGTCTTCATTGTCTCTCATAAATTCCGTATTTAGTCTCTAATAGCACCACTATTCTCTCTCTCACCTTAATAGTCAATGTTTTTAACATCCCCCGTTCCATTAAATCCATCTTTTCCTCTTAAATCTTAAAAAAGTAGGGATATCAATTAGATGGATTGAGGTTAAAGGCCACCTAAAAATGAACCCTAGCTTTGATCCATATTAATTTCAAAACCCAAATTTGGCCACTAATACATGGGGTGAACCAATTTTCTTCTTATATAAAAGTCTAAGGAAACAATTTCTCCTTTCCATGGGTTCTTAGGTTTTTCTCTATTATTTTATTAATTTAATGTATATTTGTTTCATGGATTCTTCTAGTTCAACAATAAAAATCATTTAATATGAGACTTGGGTTATTTTGAAATTATTTTTAAATTGGTTATCGATCTCATGTTAAGCACATTTTTTAGCTAAAAGGGAATAAATTTGAAGCTCAATAACTAAAAAGAAAAAGAACTAGAAATATATAAAAACCTTGCTGAATTAATGTTACTTCATCTTTTCCTTAATAATATATTTTTAAAAAATAGCCCAAGCACAATACAAAGCAAATCATTGCCATTGAAAGTCTTCTCCTCTAGAGAGAAGCAAATCATTAACAAACATGAAGCCACATCATTGCCATTGAAAATGATATGGAAGAGGCAAAAGCAACACAATGTTTGATTAAATCACAAAACTGGGTTGAGAATCCAAGGTGAGATAAAACATCAAGTAAGAAGACCCATTCAACCTTGTTATCTTTGTATAAATGGTCCTTATGTCTAATATTGCTTAGTCGGATATTAATTGGACGGAGAATATCAACCATTGTCTCAACGTTGTCTTTTTTGGGGATCAAAACCAAATGAGTACTGTAAGATCTTGAATCCGAGGAGGATCCAAAAATAACTATTGAATGAAGTCAACTAAGTTCATGGCCACTGACATCCTACTTTGTTGATAAAATATAGCATGTAGGCCGTCTGAGACAAATAGAGAAGGGAGTCATTATCAAGTTTAGTGATAAGGGTGAAATCAAACTCCAAACTACAGAAGAGAGAGATGGCTGTGAGGATGTGAAGATGGCTTCAAAGTGAGATCAAAGCATTGTAGACATGACATCATGATCCTTTAACCCACCCACGTACCCGATGGGGGTTTCAGTCGATAGATATGGTTTTACATCTGCCTGTGAAGGCTTTCAGGTGAAGAAACCTTGTATTCTTATCCCCAGCAAAGAGCCAATCACATCTACATCGAATGTGCCAGTAAGCCTCTTCTTTAGATTCACTGTTATTAATGTATTCGTAGGATTTGTTAAGAGTTTTTCTTAATGTATCAAGGTATATCTAAATCTTTATGCATATCTACAAGCTTAATTACTAATTGGCTTTGCGTTATTGATATTTTGAACATTGTTTATTCTTTTATAACTTCATTTGAAGCATCAAAACAGGGAAAAGAAAGACGAAAAAAATAGAAGAGAATGAAAGAGCTATTTATTAGCATATTCTGCACTCTGGGTCTGATAACTACAGAACAACCAGCGAGAATAAATTAATCTACTTCTCTAAGTTAACCCTACTGTGTACATACAAATCCTCTTCAGTGAATTTACATTCTCCTAAAAGGCTAAAACCTTTTATGCAGTTGTAAGTATTCCTCCTCATCTCACTGTAATCCATTTTTCATTAGAATGCAAGTCGTATTCTCTTTGTTGTTTTCTTGTCAACCTGCCCCTAAATCTATTATACCTAGTTGAGAATGGAACCTTGCTCGAAAGCTCTTCATTGTGTAGAGGCTCCGAATCACAGTCTGAATCGCTATCCTCTTCATTAAGCTGAACATCCAAAATACTTGTCGGAGAACAAGCATCCTCCTCGTATGGAGCCATCACGTTCTTCCTAGTAATGAATGGATGGTTCAGTAGCTCTTCGCTTGTCCACCTCAACTTGGGATCCCTCTGTAAGCATTTGGCCAAGAAATCTAAACCTTCCTTGGAAAAGTTGGTTGGGAATTGAGGAACGCCACTGCTGCAAGCAATCTTGAGAAGTAAGGCCATTGGATTTGAGACCTCATCCGCCCATGGAGGCCTCCCAGTGGCCATTTCAATGATGGAACATCCCAAGGACCAAATGTCTGAAGCAGTGTCCAACCCTTCATTTCTGAGAACTTCTGGTGCCATCCACAATGGTGTCCCACATATAGATTGCTGTGAAACCTTTGAACCAGCCTGAGAAGAGTTTAGCCTCTTGGCACATCCAAAATCTGCCAGCTTAATGTTACCAGTTGGGCCCAAGAGCACATTCTTGCACTTGAGATCATTGTGCACAATCCCTCTCCTGTGCAGATAGCTAAGACCTTGAAGGATCTCTCTGGTGTATACTTGGATTACTGTTTCATCCAGAGCACCACCAAACTTTTGGGCCAAATCTGCCAAACTTCCCCCAGCCATGTATTCCAGGAAGAGGTTTAGCTTCCTCTCACCATTTGCTCCAGTTGAGAAATCCCGCCCCAAGCATCGGACAATGTATGGGGAGTCGAGGAGTTCAAGGATGTTTGCCTCATTCTCCAAAGACTGAACTCCTGCTCCTGATGAAGCAGACTTCACAACAAAGATCCCCCCGGTGGCTTTGTTTATGGCCAAGTTGACAACTCCAAAAGAGCCAGAACCAATTACATTTCCCTTAATCCATTCCCTTGGTTGCGAACATTTTCCTGCCATTTTGTTTGAATATGAACAGAAAGGAGGAAGAGACTAGAGAATTTGTAGAACACGTAATCCGCTAACTGCTGATAACGAGAAAAATGGTTTGATTCGCCTTTTCCACGATACCCAAAAACGAAATCTTCGAGAAAGGGGTCTAACAGAGGACTCACAACAAACACAATACAGAAAGAACTGGGGACTCAAAGTATCTTCGCTTGTTTTTCTTTCTTTACCTAGAAGGTGAGGTCCGTCGCCACAGCCAAATTTGCCGGAACCAATGTACCCTGAGTCAAGTATGAATTCTGGCAAGAGCGGTTTTCCTTGGCCGGAAAACCGCCCTGGAGGATGGCGAGAACCGCCTCCGGTTGTCAGTTTGATGTTCCTCTGTTAATTATTGTGGAATTAGAATGAACAACAGGCAAAATTGGATTCATTTAAATAGACGAAACGGGTGGTGAAGAGACAGATCATTGGGGATCGATCCCTGGATTTCGGAGGGTGCATGGGAAATTGCCACGCGGTGCTTTTGTTCCTTTGTGTTTGTGGTTTTGAGAAGAACACGGTGTTCATTCTGTGGTTTTATTAGTTTCTGAGGGTGTTTCTGACTTTTACAATTTGTTTCATCCCAGCTTAGAATGAGAAGGGACCATAAGTAGTTTTATTGGTTGCATTTTCTTTAAACGGTTATATTTGTATGGTTGAGTGACTCAACTTGAGTCCAAAAGTTTAGGAGAGGGTGGTGTTCTTTGTAGACATGGCAATTGGGTTGGGTGGGTCGGGTGGGTCGGGTGAGGACATTTTGGATTGATTTCGGGTTGGCTTGTTAAATGTTAGATTCTAATCCTAAATGTTCGGGTTAGGGTTGACCTATTGGTCAATTTGGGTCATCTCAAAAAATAACTTAAATTTAAAATAATAAAGAATAAATACATGAAAATGCCAAAATTAAAGAAATTAATTTTAAAATTTCAAATATAAAATAAAAAATTTAAACATTTAACAATTCAAAGAGTAGACAAAAAAGAATCGAGAATAAATAGTAAAGATTAAAGAGTGGAAACTTCTAACAATGCATAAATAGTCCCAATTAGACCTGAAAATCGGGTCAGTGGTTTGACCCATGACCCAACTCAACCCAACTCAGTTTCTTCTAGGTTGGGTCAGATTGGGTCATTCTCAAATTCAGATAGCCAAGTATGTGACCCTAACCCTGTTTTTCTTTTTGTCTTGGGTTGGGTTGAATTGGCAAGTTGGGTCAACTTTTTGTAGGTCTCATTCTTTCAATTTTTGGCTATGAAGGAATAAAGCTTATTTATTCAATAAAACAAAATCACATCAGGAGTGGACCCAATTCATAGTTGGAGGGTTGACAAAGATAAGGTAATAGTGCATAACACATGAGCTAGATTATTACAATGTTATGCCTAGCTAGAAAGAAAGAAAGTGCAAACACTTTTAGGCTCTGATCAATTTTCAAGAACCTACTTTCTTGGGTAAGTGTTTCCTATGTTAGTAAGTGTATTTATCAATGTTTTTTTCTGTTTAATTTATTCATATAAATGTATCTTGTGGGGGCATTTTTAATCATTTTATTGTTTTTTTTTTTCATTTACTCTCTACTTGAGAAATTCAACTTATCCAAGTCCGAGAAGGGAATCACTTAATCGAATAAGTGATACCTGAGACAATCAATTTTACCATGACTTACAAATCACACCTTGGCCTCAGGCCGGAGTTGGAGAATCTCTCCTCCCTTAAAGATTGCCTCTAGAGATGAAAAGATCTTCCTAATAAAGATTTGCCTATTGAATCATTCTGTATCCTGGATGGCATGCTGTTGGCTTGGAACATATGGAATAAGAGGCTCAGTTTGGAAGGAATACAAATGCAAATATGAACAGTGTAAATACATACAAAATATAAAGTTTTGTATTCTACATATTTGCATTTGTACTCCTTCCAAACTGAGCTAGAGGAGCAAATTTGTTTTCGAAAAGAGTTCACAATCGAACTTTGACTATCCTACGAGCTCAGACACAGATGGGAGAGATCAAAGCTTCGATTGTTAAAGATGCAGACTCGGATGCTCCTACTTCTTCTCGCCCCAGAAGATGGTCAAGCCCTTCTCTGGGATGTGTGAAAATTAACATAGACAGTGCCAGAAGGGACACTCATGGGGCTGTGGAGTCACTGTTAGAAACTTGGATGGTAATCCTATTCTCAGCAAGGTGACCTCTGTTGCTCATTGTTCGACAGTGGAGGTGGAAGCACTTGCTTTGAAGGAAGCCTTGTTGATTGTTAGAAGCTTAGCCCTGTTTGGTGCGTTTTTTTTTACATGGATTGTCAGATTTTTAGAAGCCTGGCAGCCGGTGTTTTCGTCTTTTGTTGTTTGGTTGGAAAAAGGTCTAACCATCAAAAGATATCATGCCGAAAAGATGCATAAAACTCGTTTTGGGTGATTTTCAGGAAAGACGTTCGAAAAGACATACCTTAACCAAATTGTCTTCAAACTGTCAAGATTTTAATTAAAAAGCTTAATATGTCTTTTAATTGCCAAAGCGAAGATCTTTCAAAAAAAACTTATCAAAGGACCCCTAAATACACAACAGGTCATGACTCTTGATTGAATCAAATTCTCAGCTTATTGTAAGCTTCCGCTCCAAAATCCCTCTTCAGCCTGTTCTTGGAAAGCAACCTCAATTCTTTCTAAATTCTAATTGTAAATTCTTGCTTCAAAACTTCTTTCATCTAACCATCTCTTTCGTCCCTAGATCCTATAACCGTTCTTCACATAAACTTGCAAAGTTTGCAATAAGGTTATGGGAAGAGGAATATTATTCCCCATGTATTAAGGGAGCTCATCCTCAAATAGAAATTCTAATCTCGTTAGAGTTGATGAATGAATAAGGCCTATGGGCCATTTCCAAAAAAAAAAAAAAAAAAAATTCAATTCTTATGATCAGATTTGAATTTTATTGGTCAAATTTTCTTGGGTTTGTGGAGTAGATTTGTATTTAATCTAAATCTAGTTCAAAGATCGAATAAATTAAGAAAGGTAAATTGATATATACATATGATGAACTATTAAATTTATTAATTGCAATTTTTATTATTTATATCATATACAAAATGAATATTGAATGGGTCACACCTACGTCATCAGTTGGATACTTTGGACGTTTTGAACAAAACAAGATTAGCTAATGATTCACATGGTCTTTATAATGCTTGCTGTTACTAACAATTTATGCGTTAAAAACATTTATTAAGGTAAACAATGTAATGGTCCTTCGGGACCACAATGGATGTTGCCTCAGTCACAGAAAATCGCTAACAAGCTTGTTCATAGGTCATCAGGAAATGTTTCAGCCTAAAACAAGCAAAGAAGCATGTTTTATTTGGATTTTGGACCAATCCAATTCCTGGACTGGTCCTCCTGCTGATTACTTCCCTCTAGCATTTGGACTGACTGTATTGAGCTGTAGGTGATAGATCAATGATTTATTTTATTTTCATCTATAAATATAATAATATAAAATGAGTATTGGAGTGGGATCAATATAATTATGTGGTGGACCGTTATATTTTACATATAGGTAAAACTCATCGTGGACTGCTGGACAATTAAAATTATGCCTATTATTTAATTTGTCTTACATTCATGCACATGGTAAATTTAATTTAGCCACTTATCCCTTAGATTTTTTATTTAATTTAAAAAATACAAATTATGTTGAATTTATGATTGATTTGACAATAAACACTAGCATGTGCTGATGTGCATATTAGGCATATATGTGTAAAATGATGTGTAAAAATATAAATCACCCGTGGATTGATGTTAAATTCGAGTTCACATCTCCGCCCCACAGCATATCCGTTGTGAACATCTCCCGATGATAGTATCGGTCCTGATAATGATTATCAGGAGATGTTATTAATATATGGCGGGGATGTGTTGTGGGGCGTTGTAGGGTGGTTGATGGTGCGTGATTTAGATTTTCCTAGCTGTAAGCCAGTTCGGACGTTTGTTGCTAAGTAGCTTGTTTGAGCTGCAAAGAAAAGGGGGATCAGAGAATCTGGGGTGGTTAACTCGGTGAGGTCGCTCTGATGCTTAAGTCAGTTATTGTAATACGTGAGTTGATAGCTTAAGAGATGAAAGAGCTAGAATGCACTTAATCTTGTGTACCTAGGTCTTGGGGGTTGATGCCCTTATATAGTTGAGCTGCCGTGGGTCTTACAAAACGGCTCCGGGATCCTCGGTCAATGAAGTTTATCATTACCTTCTGATCCGGGCGGGGAGAGGATAAGGCCTTCCGTTACGCAACGTGATCTCGAGTGGTTCGGAGTCCACTGAGAAGCTTCTAAAGTCAATTACGTGTCACTCCGGTATTCGGGTGTCGAAGTGGCTTTGGTACCGAGGTGCCTAAGCACCCGAGCTCCCGAACTGCTGACAAGGCTCTCCTTGCTGAGTTGTTGTTCTATTGGCAGGTCATGTCCACATGTTCTTCACTTACTAGATCGAGCCAAATCACCCCTCATCAATTGCCCCCGACACTAAAGCTGAGATCAGCTTGGCGAAGGGAGAAACTTGTTTATTTGGTCCGAAGTGACTAATTTGATGAGCTTGTAGCCGTTGGTCTAGTTTGCTCCCTTGGTTGGAAGAGTTGAAGTGTTGAATGCAGCCTTACGTAGGACCTCGCCATCTTGATCATTGGAGCACGAGAGCGAATTCATCCATTCGAGGAGAGGTGGAGCAAGTACCTCGAGGACATCTATCTTATTTGGGAAGCAACTGTCAAGGAGTTCTGCAATCTAGTTAAGTACTTCAAGAGCGAAGCTCATCATGCTACCCTCAAGAGGGTGTTCTAACTGCGTGACTGCCTCGTTTGGTCGCTTTACCCGGGTAGGCTACAACACAATGTATGTTGAGCTAGTTCTCGAAAGAGTAGCTAGCGAGGTCGACCAAGTTTGCATCTGCGGTGCTGAAAGTGAACTAGTCATTCCTTCATTTCCTTTTCTCTCCCTTTTTATTTTCTCCTCTTTTTTTTAGGTCGGTGGTGAGATGTCTACGTCCTTTGAGGTCAATTAAGTGTGGCATTTGCAACCATGATGCTGTCGAGCTAGATAGGTAGGGGGCCAACCTATTGAGGTCGGTCTTCAAGTTGCCGATGTGCTTCGAGGTCGGCTTGAGGGGGCCTTCGCTAAAAAGCGGTATAACTTTCCCTTAAAACTTGATTTGATTAGGTCGCCAGAGCAGATAGTCATTTTGTAGTAGCTTTAAATGCGGTTGCTTCTAGGTGGTCACTTGAGATTGGCTTCCCCAAGTAGGTGCTTGCGAGATTATGCCGTACATGTACCACCTACTCTTGGAACCGCTAACTGCCCACTCCTACTGGAGTCATGGGAGGCTCACCTTGAGGGGTCGGGTCTATTGTCTGTGGGTTGCCTACTCTCA